TTAAAGGTATCAGTTCTTGCTTGACAGTATAGCAAATTGTTAGGGAGTACATTTAATTGCCACCTTTGGCTTCCACATTGCAATTTTGGCAATATGGGCCTGAATTAGCTTAAAGCCTTCTTAGTAGCTAATTTCAACGAGACTGGAATTATGTAGCTCCATCATTCCATTAGTTTCTTTTGCATTATCAATAACAATTGATGTTTCTAGTCTACCTGCCTGGTCTGAATTGAAGGCTACTGTTGCAGGTCAGAACCATCTTGGACATAGGATGTGGTTACGGTAGCTTTGGAGCACATCTCTTTTCCAAACAGCTTTTAACCATGTGCATTGCCAACTATGAGTCCTCAGGCAGTCAAGTTCAACTCACTCTCGAAAGGGGCCTTCCTGCAATGATTGGTTCTTTCAATTCAAAACAATTACCATATCCATCTCTTTCATTTGATATGCTGCATTGTGCACGCTGTGGTATTGACTGGGACCAAAAAGGTATCAGCTAACAGTTTGAAACTTTGCTAGTGTAAAAATTTGCCGCTTCTCTCCCTATCTTTTCATCCCCTCCTCCTACCCTGGTATGTTATAATTTTTGTAAGTTAATAGAGCCAATTCGTGTTGGGACATATACGTAGGGCTAGAATCATTTTTATTTTCAGTAGTAAAGGACATAATTTTTTTTAAATGGTCTGTAAATATAATTGCTAGCCAAAGGTCTTGTTTGAGTGCTTTTGGATGCATTTGTTGGCAGTTCACACCTGCCAACCAATTTATAATTTAACAGAATTTGTGAAAATCATGGTCAACTTCATTTTATCTGTTTATAGTTCAACAAATTGGCCACACCACCATTTCTACTTTGCTATTGTAATTTTTAATCATGTTTTTACTGCTATACGTGACTTGTATCAATTTTTTTGTGTTTGAACTGGTAGTAATTAAACTTTTATTTTAAAATGTGTGCTACAGATGGTATTTACTTAATTGAAGTTGATAGAGTTCTAAAGCCTGGTGGATACTTTGTGTGGACTTCACCTCTTACCAATGTCCAGAGTTTTCTTCGTAACAAAGGGAAGCAGAAAAGGTGGAATTTTGTTCGTGATTTTGCAGAAAGTCTCTGTTGGGAGTTGATGTCACAACAAGATGAAACTGTTGTGTGGAAAAAGACCATTAAAAAAAGTTGTTACAACTCTCGGTGAGGCAATTTTCTTACTTGATTTACAATTCATTTTCTTCAAAACTATATGAACCATTGGAAATCTTTATTATCTGAGATCAATAGGTGGTCCTGATTACTGGTATCAATCATTTATGTGTCCAGGAAGCCTGGTTTTGGTCCTTCAATCTGCAGCAAAGGACAAGATGTTGAATCTCCATATTATCGACCTCTTCAAAACTGTATTGGTGGAATGCATAGCCGCCGATGGCTTCCTATTGAAGAGAGGGCAACCTGGCCTTCTAGGTCTAATTTGAACAAGAATGAACTAGCTTTATATGGTAATATGATGTTCTTTGCATGCTTATGTTAGAAGTAACAATTCCATCGTGATAAGCAACAATGACCAGAAATTTTTGACTGCCACTCCTGATGTATCTGTTGGCTAATACTTTTAGTATTTTATCAGGTCTACACACTGAAGAACTCAATGAGGATAATACGAACTGTAAAACAGCTGTTCGTAATTATTGGTCTCTTCTATCACCCCTAATATTCTCTGATCATCCTAAGAGACCTGGTGATGAAGATCCTTCTCCACCTTATAACATGCTCAGGAATGTGCTAGACATGAATGCTCGCTATGGTGGTTTCAATGCTGCATTGCTGGAAGCAGGGAAGTCTGTCTGGGTCATGAATGTAGTCCCAACAAGCGGACCCAACTACCTTCCTCTGATTCTTGACAGGGGCTATGTTGGTGTATTACATGATTGGTGATTCTCTTCTCTAGCTAATTTTCTTTTTCATTTTGGGTTGTGTTGTTTTAATATATTCCTTATTTGCAATTCATTATAGCTGAAGCTGGAATATGACCCCTTCTTCTAGTAATTCCTAGGTTGCCAAACTGTAATGATATTTAGCAACTTAATATACGTTGGTAATATCTTTTCTCTCTGGAGTAAAAAAAAAATAAATGCAGTGAGGAAAACCTGCATATGATATAAGACTTAACCTGAAGCAAATTCTGCTATAGGATGTATGTTCTGTTAAAAGTTGATGTGTTTACTGAAACTTGGATTGTTGTTACTGAGTTTGAAGTTAGGACACCATATTATATGATTAGGTTCAAAGTTAATTAATCATGCTTAAAATGTGATATGCTTTGCATAATGCTTTTCTGTGCGACGTATACCTTTCCTTTATAGTTTAATGTTTCTTGTTTTATTTGTCTTATGATCCATCCTTTTTACTTTCAGGTGTGAAGCATTTCCAACATATCCTAGAACTTACGATATGGTGCATGCAGAAGGACTTCTATCCCTTGAGACTAGTCAAAATCGGAGGTGCACCATGCTTGATCTATTCACTGAGATAGATCGGTTGCTTCGTCCAGAGGTACTAAAACTAGGCTATCAAATCAGGCTAGCTTTTAGTTCCTTTCATGCTTACCTTCTATTGTTTCTCTATTCCTCAAATGACATAATATTAGCTTTAGCTGGATAAAATTTAATGCTTAATGTGTTATTATTCGCCAATCGTTTTTCTTGTCATTATAAGTAACTGATAATTAAAGTACACAAATACATGGGCAAGGAGAAGAGAAGTAAAACGCTTTTTCATTTGCTTGGTACCCCCTAACTTTATTAGAACTTTTGTTGCTATATTTGTGGCTTTGACGTTATTTTTCACTGGTAAATTTGAATGTCTGTAAGAACGTTTGTGTGTATGAAAAATTTAGGGATCACATGACTAGAAGAAAGCTTCTATCAGTACCACTCAAAATAGTAATGTATTAAGTCATATGACAAAGCCAAAAGGTTTAACAGTCTCATACTACTTCTCTATCATGTGCTGATCTTTAATTAATTATACTGCTTAAGCGAATCTCAGGATTTGGTTGGGAATCGTGATGCTTGTTGGTCTTATATTATCTAAAACTAGTTGAGAAGAGATCTTCAGAATGTGAGTCGTACTATGCAGATAGTTTTGCATATGTTTTTAACATAAATATCAATTAGTATTATGCCAGTGTTGAATCTCCTTTGTGTCATCAAAAGAGTGCTACAGAGCAAATTAGTTTACTTAAATTCTATCAAATATGAGTAGACCTTTTGCAAATGCTTCCAATGGTTTTGTTTTCTACTGCTATGCTTTAATATGTTACATTTGATGGTTGGTGCAGGGTTGGGTAATAATCCATGACACAGCTCCTCTAATTGAATCAGCTAGAGTTCTAACAACGCGATTGAAGTGGGATGCCAGAGTTGTAGAAACTGAAAGTAACAGTGAGGAGAGACTCCTTATCTGTCAGAAACCTTTCTTTAAGAGACAAGCAAGCTGAGAACAATTTCTCGAGGAACCCTAAGTTAAAGTTCTTGGTATTCAAATTCATTTTGTGCATGCTAAGTATCATTATATAGCTCCACCGAGGAAGGGGGATACCATATATTTTGAACAGAAAGAAGAAAGCAGATAGTAGAGGAAAAGGAAAATGAAATCTTTTGCTGGGACCAATCACAACTCCTATGGAGCCGTAAGGCATACATAGGGCCTTGTAATTACTTCAAAATCTGAGGCACCATTGCAAGTGAATTCATAGGATTAGATTTAAATATTCATGTTATGTCTCGGTATAACAATACAACCACATGATTAAGATTGTGAAAGATGATTACAGAATAAGCAAGTGCCACTAGCTGTGCAGTACAGAAGAAAGAAAAAAAAAGTCCTTGGCAGTGCATTTGTGATGAAATTTTTTTTCACTTCAGTTTATCGTTTTCTTCCATTTCATCTACCTTCAATGGAAACTAATTTTGAATGAATTGAATCATTTTCTTGCTTTGAGTCATGCTTATGCTTTGTCACATGGTGTTTGAATGTTTTGTATCCCTGGTGTGAGGCAGATCATTAAAATGCACCATTGAATACATGTGATAGACTAGTTTTGGTGATGCATTGGGAGGTTGGCATTGAAGTCAAAGTGCATTTGTAGATGAGACTCCTGCCTATCGTATCTAATGCACTTCGACTGCAACTGAAGTGAGAATTCTACTTGAAAAATTTGTGATATCCGTGTACTACGTCTTGGTTGGTGGACGAATGTCTGTTGATACAATCATATTTGCATTTCAACGTCCTTTATTGATGGATGCCTTCACCGTTGAGTGAGGACTCTGGAATGTTTTGTTTTTTAACAGGCTGGCAGAAGCAGACAAGTGTTTCCCGTGGCCCATGGGGTAAGAAGGATACAAGTTGGCGGACGTATCCATTGCATCCGAATATTTGATTTAACAGTAATTTGATAAGTGTATATATTTTTTTATTTTATAAATAAAAAGTTATTAATAAGTCACATAATCAGTTAATGACACATTATTGTTTATTACACCACAGCAACTACATTTATTAGGCAAGCCTTTCCTATCAAGAAATTAAGTACCCATTAATTTTCTCAAATTTTTTAACTTTGAATTCAACATATTATTTTATTCAAATCAAGATGTAATTTATTGGATTTTATTTATTTAATGAAAATTAATTTCAAAATTTAGCAAGTACAATTAATAAAACTAACCATTGCTACTTGAAGGTGATTCTTAAAAATATATATATATATATGAATCCCATAATTTTATTAATTTGTAATTTACTCATTTTCATCATAATTTTTTTATATGGATAAAATGAAAAATATTGCATTTTAATTTAAATAAAAAATAAATTAGATTTTTTAAATGAACAGGAATGCTAGTCACCCGACCTTAGCTCAGTTGGTAGAGCGGAGGACTGTAGTAGGAAAAAACCTTATAGCCATCCTTAGGTCGCTGGTTCGAATCCGGCAGGTCGGAAATTTCCTTTTCAACAATTTTTTGAATAATTTTTTCCGATTAATGCACCACAAAATTTTGGCGCCGTATCTGAGAAAAACCGTTGAATTGTTATAGCCATTTTAAATTGATATATCATAACCAAAACCTTAAGTAAATAGTCATGGTCATGGCTTGGCGCTTCTTCTTCCTCGGTAAACCCCTCTTAAACCCCAACCCTAAATTCCCAAAGCCACGTTCTTTCTCCACCTCTTTCCTCATAACCAAAACACCTAACAAGCACAAACCCAAGCGCCCCAAATCCGATTCTCCCCGCACCCGACCCGTCACGCCCGACTCCAACAAAATCCCCCAGTTCGAGTCCCTCCTCGACCGCGATGCCACCTTCCGATTCCTCACGAAAACCAAAGAATTCCTCTCCAAACAATCCGAACAAATTCTCCGCCTCGACGACGCTGGCAAACTCCACCGAGAACTCGGATTCCCCCGCGGCCGAAAAGTCGCCCGATCCATTGCCCGCCACCCGCTCCTCTTCACCACCCACCGCCACTCCGACAACAAAATCTGGCTCGGATTCACTGACTTGATGGATCAATTACTCCTTGAAGAGACATCGATCATGGAAGCCATGGAGGAAGATCGAGTTACGAAAATCTGTAAATTATTAATGATGTCGAAAAATAAGCGGATTCCATTAAGCAAGATTTATCATAAAAGGCTTATATTTGGAATTCCAGAGGATTTCAGGGACAAAATCGGAAAATATACCGATTATTTTCGCCTAGTGGTTGAAGATGATGGGAAACAGGTCCTTGAGTTGGTAAACTGGGATCCAAGTTTAGCTGTAAGCGCATTGGAGAAGGAGTTTTTAGTAAATGAAGATAAGGTGAAGAAAGCTTTCAAGTTTCCGGTTAAATATGGGAAAGATTTGGACTTGGAAGAAAATGATGTCAAGAAACTCAACTTGTTAAACACATTACCGCTGGTTTCGCCTTATTCCGATGGGTGGAAGTTGGATTTATGGAGTTTGGAGGCGGAAAAGTATAGGGTCGGGATTATACATGAGTTTTTGAGCTTGACTTTGGAGAAGAGAGCTTTGATACATCATATTGTGGAGTTTAAGGAGGAGCTTAGTTTGACTAGGCAGACTTATGAGATGCTCAAGAGGCAGCCTTGGACGTTTTATTTGGCGGGAACAGAGATGAACTGGGCGGTGTTTTTGAAAGATGGGTATGATGAGAATGGGAATTTAATCAAAAAGGATCCACAGGTGGTTTTCAATGAAAAGCTTTATAAGTTTGCCCAAATGCAGGATGAGGAATTGAGTTCTGAATTTGGGGAGAAATGATAAGGAGATTGATATTTTTTAGTGGTTAATCATGTGGATTGAGTTGCTGAATAGAGAGTCAAGATGGGCTCCAGAATACTGCGGGAGCGAGAGAGAGTTTTATGATCAAGGTGAATGCTGCATTTTACATATGTAAGGAATTGAAGATTAATTATTTGCAATATGTTGTGATGTTCATTTTTGTTAATCTTATTATCAAAATAACTTTTTGTTCCTTCCTGGCCTTGAATATATAATAGAAGTTGCATAGCTGCTCCAAGCCCTAATCTTTTGAATTCAACAGTACACATGAGCATAATAGTCATGATCACGTGTAAAGATCTGTCAGAAACCATGTTTTCTGTTGCAGTGGTTAAAATTACCATAGGTGGAGCCCATATCTTGGAAGGATTGCATTGTCTGTGATCTTGTTTGAACTTTTGTAGTTTCCTAATCATGTTTTTGGCTTATGCCTGTATTCTTTTCTGTCAAGCTTCAAAATTAGATTTCAATTTTAAGCTCAAACCCTTCTAGACTACATGATAAATATTGTGTGATTTGTAAAGCTTAATTTCTTGCTTCATCTATGATTTCTTTTTCCTTTGCTATGTTTTCTTTCCTCATGGTATTCTTTGCATGTCCTGAACTTTACTTCTGGCACCTTGTTCATGTCAAGAAGGACCCAGTTTGGCTGATAGGCTTTTAGCAGGCTTCATTTAACTACTATGGTGTTAAATTATAATCTAAGTAGAAGATTTCTGGTCCTCCTTGATTTACAGGCCAGACTCATGAAAAGCGAGGTTCCAGTCCTGCATTTATTCACATTGAAAAGGGTCTTCTGGTTCTTTCAACATTATAATCATTGCATTGATATGCTGCTAGATGAGTGGTTCTGGTCTCTTAGAAACAACTCTCAGTGAGTGGTCTAGTCTCTTTAGAGTTAACTCCATAATTTGCAACTTGGCAGAAAATATCGATGGCCAATTGACTGAATCTTACTGGCAAATATCCAATCTCTTTCATGTTGAAATCTGTGAATGATACATGCTGGTTTTATTTAAGTTGAGATCAGTGTTCCTGTTGTTTCCAATTGTCAAATCAAGATCTCTATTCTGGATCATAACTAGGGATGAGTTTCAAGGTTGTTTTTGACAGCAGAAGTTACAGGTCCTTTTCAAGAATAAAACCTTCTGTACTGTTCTTCATATTGCTAATACTTCGATGCTCTATACTCTCTGCAGTTAAAAAACTAAGCAAACACTTTCTTTTTCTTTATGTTAGAGGGAAAGGAAAATAAAATGCAGTGTGTGTGATACAAATTCTACCTTCTAAATATTACTAATAAATTGGTCAAAAGAATTCATTGACACTCAGTTAAGTTTTTTAACTAATAAACTTTATCATCTCTCTTTTACATGGTTTTACCCATCACTAGTGATTAATATGCTATAATAAGTTGGCGAAAAGTGAAATATAGCACGTTTTTTTCAGTCTTCACCTTAGTTGTAGTTGTATTCATTTTATATGAGATCATATAGACAAATGATATGAAATTATGGCATGATATAAGGGTTAGTTAAATACAATGAAAGTATGGGTAAGTGCAAAAGGGGAAAAAGGTCTCCATTCGAGCAGGGATGATAGTCTTGGTTCTAATAGAGTCCTATATAAAAGCTTCCCTAGAATACACCTTTGGGGGCTTTTCAACCGGTTATGTTTTGTCTGTGCAAAGACAGTCTAAGTGAGATGACTTTATTTTCAAATTAAACCTTTTTATCTAAAACTTACATCCAATAGAATTTTCTTGCTACTTTATTTCTTTTCTGCTCAGGGACCTTTTCTATGTTAGGAGGCTTTAGCTCCAAAATTACATTTATCCATTTCCTATCCTTCCACTTCCTAAATGCATAGCTATTTCATATAGTATATTTCTGGCTTTAATATGCATTTATAATTTCGAACGGAATGTGTGGTGATCTCAGCTGCTTGGCCTCCCTTGGTAAAGCATAGGGCTGAAACATTTGACATTGTAAATACTATCTAACATTTTCATGCTAATGATCTCAATCTTGACTTATTTACTTAACGTGCATATATGCAAAAAATCTAACTATTCCTGTTAAGTTGAGCAAAATAGAAATGAAAACTGCATGCATTAACACTTGATTACACCACACAAACTTAAATCAAATTACCAAAAAAATAACTCCAAACATGACAAGGGGGAAGACAAATGTCTGCATAGCAAGCAGTCCTTAGGGTCACAATGCAAAATAAAGGAAATTTAAAAAAATTCCCTTGAATTCTCCAGGTAAATTACTCGGAAATCCTCTAACGCAATGAAGAAGCTTGTGCAGGTGCCTTTAGAGATACATGATGACGACTTCGGCTCTTTGATTTATTCTTGCTCCTCTGCCCAGTGGCCACACTGCTTCTGTGCACAATGGTGGATGTTGATGCACCTTGGCTTGCTCTTTTTGCTGCTTTTCTTCGAGAGTTCCAACTGCCGCTCCCTAGGGCCGCTTTGGCAACACTATCAGTGAGCACTTCCCTTGCTCTTTGTGGTTTGATGGGTTGCTTGTTCAGGTATGTAAGCTTAGAGAGTAAGCTACAAATTGCCTTGCGCAGCTGGTCATCACTGATGTTGCTCTGAACTGGATTTCCCAACAGATTCAATGCTTGCAATGAGTTGAAGTTGGCAACAAGCTGGCCCAGCGCTTTTGTCGTTGTTATCTTGTTGAAGCTCAGGTCTAAGACTGTTAACTTCAAGAGCCTATGCAGCCCTTCGACATCACTTATCTTGTTCCCAGCAAGATACAGTTCTTTGATCAGTGTGCAGTTTGACAACCCTGGCATCATAAAAGACCACAATGCACTCTAAGAACTACGTGCAATTTATTTAAGGAGAATGTCTTCTGAAAATTTAACCAGAACTTTTTAGGTGAAAATTGGGAAACAGATGTGCAAGTTAATTACCATGTCCAATTCGAGCAATGCGATTATAACTGAGGTCAACTACTCGCAACCGAGTTAATTCTCTAAGTCCTTCAATAGTGTTGATCTTGTTTCTTGACAAGTTGAGTGTGTGAATGCCCTTTGGAAGTGATCCTGCAGTAATGTGGACTGCCAAGAAAGCAAAAATCATAGTCATATATCTCAATTCAAACTAATAACCATCTTAAACTATCAGCAACTTTTTTTGAACACGCCATACCTATAAAGTTGTTTGACAAATTGACAGCGCGAAGGCTGGAGAAATGTGCGATGATTGGAATGGCTTTCAAACCTATTCCTGAAATGTGAGCAACAGTTGAGGAAGCATTGAGAGACTGAATGACACTATTGGCATGTAAAATCTCCTCAGACACATTGATATCTGGACGCCGAGTCAAGTGGGTTGTGCTTCTTGCTGGTGATTTACCAGTGTCAGGAGAAGGTGGAAACGTTATGCCCTCTTCATCATTCACATCTTCAGCAGGCTGTTTGATTTGGGTTTCAAGATCTCTCACCCACTCATCTACTCTTGTGAAGGATGATGATGGAGCTGGGAATGCAACCCATTGGTTCTGGGGCCATAAACCAGAAACTCCAGTTTGAAAACCATTCCAGCTCTGGTTGTCATCACAGTTGCCAGTAAAGTCTTTGTTCAAGGACTCTTCAGTAAATGATCCAGGTGATTCCATCTTGCTCAGTTTCATCGCTCGATGTGGCTCAATTGTATCTGAACAGTATCCACCTTGCTGGTTCAAAGTAGCAGTGGCAGGAAGAGGCCGTGGTTTTGTTGTCCAATGTTTGTGCAAGTTCCGGTGACTCCAGAGGAATAATTTCCACCATAACCTTCTGCTTCTGGAAGGCAGAACTTGACTGGAAGAATGTTTTTTCAACATCACTCTGTCAGCACTGCAACGAGTCATTACAGAAGCTGGGCTACCAGGATAAAAGTCGCCCGTTACTCTTGCAGATAACTCCTGCAATTCTTCAAAGGACTGAGACTGGGAAGGAGGTAACTGATCAGCTACCTTTCTTAGCACATCCCTCGTCTCCAAATTAGAGCAAGAGCGCTTAAGCTTTGGTGACGCCCAGAACTCAGCCTTCCCGATCCCTGGATCACTGATATGTCCACTTTGAATCATATCAATAGCCTTTTCAACATCTTTCTGTGCTTGGTACATAAACTCTTCCTTTACTTCAGTATCAAATGAAGATGAAGAATCCAACCTTTTGGTTCTGAAATCAAATTCTTCTTCACCTGAATTGGCTACGTGGGCTTGGAGATCTAAGTCAGAGTTATCTCTCTTAATTGAGGCATTCTCTTCATGCTCATCTTCCCCTTCATATGCTATCTCTGCTGCTTCACATCCAACAGGACTTTCATGGCCGATTACCTTGACATTGCAAAGAGAAGCCTCCTGAAAGCCAACAGGTACAGGGACAGTAAATGTTGTTGATTTCAACTCATCACTCTCAAAAGGCTGCACCGGTTGTTCGAGCTTAATTTGGAGGGTTCTAACCCCTTTATTTAGTTCAACAGCTTTTGAAGACACATCACCCCCCTACAAATAACAGAATGAAGAAGATGAAGCTGGAAATCACCAGATACACAGAATTGAACTAATACGAAAATTAAAATCCTTCTCACCTTTTCTTTGTTTTTCTTTGCGGTCAAGAGAGAGAAGCAATTGAATTTTGCCATTGGACAAAGGTGAATGATTCCAATTCTCAGAGAAGCCCGAATAGATGCACAATTTATTTCCGTTTTTCCCCTTTTCTTCTTCCTCTTCTTGAACTTTGCCTATTGATGCTCACATCTCTAACCAATCCTTAAAGTAAGCTTTTAACAGTGAAAATTTTGAGTTGCAAAGATCACATGGAGAATGATTTATCGAAAGTTAGCCATAATCAATAGGAAGGCACCAAACCAATGACCTCGTGCAATCGGAAGGTGAATGATCACCGGAAATAAGAGGGCCAATGCCTTCTCCGGCTTGAGAAGGTTTCACTAGATTGTCGGCCAGAGTTGTATGCCCAGCTTCTCTCCAGAAGCTCCACCAAATCCTTCTTTAAAACCTCTCCTGTTTATTCACAAGACCAACAAAACAAACCTGTTAACTCCAGAGCTCCTTTAAGGTAAAGTGTTTTTCACAGTTATTGGAGCAAACATGTCTGCCATATTGGGTAGTTTCAAAACCCCATTAAAAAAAAGCTAGAACTTTATTGTCTTTTTCAAACAAACAA